AGAGGACTCCAGAGCTGCTTGTGCCAGTGTCCAGAGCAGGGTCCTTTTTGTCTGGCATCCCCAAGCAATCACACATGCAAAGCTTTAGTCACAGCTCCATAGAAAATCAGTGCAGACATTCTACATGGAGATGCTCTGATCTCAGAGAAAAATGTGGTTAGCTAAGGACAGTCACCCCATTTTGTGACTTAGATGTTTCTCCACGATCTATGGGTCACTTAAAAAATTAGTTTCACTCCCTACTTCAAGATGGGAATACAAGTACAAAACACTGGCTAAAGCACAGAGAGTAGTGAGTATTAACTTTTTTCTACAACTTTTCAGTGACGAGGAACCAGATAATACACCAGCTGACTGGTCTGCTTGGCAGGTACCGAACCTGGTGTCTGCTTTATGTGTCTCCTGAAGACTGCAAAAACCTTCCCTGATGCAGCAACAGACACGTGGGCTTCCTCAGTTCAGGCTTCTTATTCAGTCTCTATGGAAGCTCGCTTCAAACTTTCCTCTTCAAAGAGCTTGACATTCATCTTAAACTTCCAAAACATTTTTTCCTGAATTAATGCAGGTATGTGCTGAATGTGAGATGGCTATAAAATCCCTGAGTCATTATAATAAGACTCTGACCTGCTTTTAATCTCGTTCTAACATTGTACCAATTTAAATTAGCCTGAGTGGTGATGATGTAGCTGAAAAGTTTTATGTTTAAGCAAAGTAAGGCTTGTAGCAGTAGAGATTGTCTTTGATTGGACCTGAGAAAGCCCTGGCCTGCTTGAAAATTCAACAATTTTTCAAGGTCTTACCTTTCCCTACAGGCACAAGGAAGTTATTTCATAACCTTTTGAACAAACCTTGAATCTTGTAGAACCATGCCAAGGTGTGCTCCATGTTGAATGTAACTTCTCATCCTCACTGGCCTTTATGTATTTTTCTAGTATCTGACATAGCAGATTTTAAGATTTTGAAAATAAAATGTCACTCTTCTTGTTGCTTTTCTTTAGGAAAATGATTCTGTTCTCACTCTTAGTGGATAAGCTGGATGCTGGTGATGGTCATGGGAGGATATTTATAGCATGCCAGCAGCAGCTGTCCAGGGAGGATGCTGCAATCTGTATTCCCCTGCACTGCTGACAGGGGTTCTCCAGTCTTGTTAAGCTGCTCCTAAACATCCAGCTCTTTTATGAAGCAAAGTGAAGTCAAAAAAGTGGAACCTCTAAAGTCTCCTAGCTACTGGCTTCACTTCAGTCAGTACTGAGATCTAATGCTTTGGATGCCATTCATATTTACTGTTTTAAAGATTTATTTTTATTTTTTTATTATTTTTTTTATGTTGATGCAGAAATTTGTGTAAGCCCATCTGGAAGCCAGCTTCACAGACCATTTCCAGGGCAGCAAGCAGTACTTGTAAATACAGTGATTTATTCCTTTTTTCTTCTTTCACCATGTCATACTCCTACTCATAGTATGTGGATTTATTTCAGTTACTCACCAGGCATATTTGTAGCATAGAAAGGAATAAACAGGTGACACCCACTTCTGCAGAACACAACTGGAACTCTCTAAGCATTTCCTCTAAGTATTCTTTGTAAATGAAATGAGTCAGCTAAGCTGGAGAGCATTGCACTGCTTTCATCGCCCATAGACTACCAGCGGTAGGGATGCGTGCTGAGTGACAGGAACTGGGTAAGTTTGCGTGGCAGTGAGAGCAAAGGAATCGTTTCTCATGTTAAGGCTGGCTGCACAAGCTGAGGTTTTCACCCTCCCTGCGGAGGTGCCTGAGACAAATGCTGTTTTTCCCTCTGCCATACACGGGGTGCAGCTGTCAGCTCCTTCACAGCTGCGGTATTCTGACCAAAATCCTCTACTGACTCTGCTAAGCATACACCCACATGCAGTGCATAGCACCTGTGCTAGGATCTCTCAGAAAAAAAGAGCACAAAGGGTGCCTTACTAAGGCTTTACTTGACAGCATTCACCAGACAAGTTAGTTCATTTTTACCTTGGGGTAACTGCCACGCAGTTTTGGCAGGACATCACCACAGGATAGCCCAGACCCTCGCTGCTATTAGCAATGTTTTGATGACATCTGTTGCTCATGATGCCTCAGTTCAAGTCACCTCTAAAGCGTCACTTACATGTATCCACAGCAACCTGCTAAATTTGCTGGGCCCCAGCTGTAGTTTTCCTGTTTCAGCATTGTCTGGTTCCCAGCCCTGTGAAACTGCTGGTGAAACAACTCAGCATCCACCTGCCAGACAGGTCAGTCCCAAAGCATGCAGCAGAACTTTGAGCTAGGGATGCAAATATGTCTGATTTTCAACCCATTACTTCCAACCCGTTAGCCTGCTAATTTAAAATCATGTCAGCATGTCCACATTGCACCTTTTATATGGTACAAAACAAAGAGCAGGAAACTACTGAATTTTATATAGTCTCGTGATTGCCTTTTGTAGTTCTGTGTGCAATATAAGAAAACAAGCATAAACTATGGTGGATCTCTCAAAGATGAAACTTGACAGTTCCTTGTGTGCGCTGAAAGAAGCGTTAAAGTTTGTCTGAAGTTTGTTTAGGGATTTCTCAGTACTACAAAAGAGAAACTGAAGAAACTTTTCTCTAGACAGTCATTGGACTGGGACAGAGCTTTTCTTTAAAATTCTCTTGGGTAGGGTGAAGGACTGTAAAATAGCAGATTTCTTTATTTATTTATTTTGCAAAGAAGAATTTCCTTATTGTGTAATAGCAGCCTTTCACTAAAATTAGAGGCAGAAAGCAGAGAATTGCTTCCATTTAAGTCACAGTGTCAGTGAGAGGGTGACAACGTACGAACTGGACATAACATTTTGAGTTGCTGCTTCTTAGGAAATCTCTTCAGATGACACTCGGGTCAAATTCTTTTCCAAGTTTCCTGAGACTAAACAAACCAGTGCCAGCCTAACAGAGGGAGACCTGGCTCCATTACGGGCTATCTTATCAGTGTTCTGTCTGACCTTTTCTTACCCACGCTGTAACTGCACCTCTCACATGCATGTCAGCGTGAGGAGTAACATCCTTGAAAGGAGTAATGTCCTGCTCTAAAGAAAAGCACATGTTGCAGCTGCAGACAGAAGACTGACTCAATTTTATTCCCCACAAACCAAAACTGGCTCATTCAGCAGCATACTCTCAGCATGTGCACTCAAACTTAATCCAGTGTAATTTACAACCTGCCAGCCACCAGCTCACTGCCTTTCCCATCCCAAAAGTGTGCTGAGCTTCCTCTGCTGTCACGAACCTGGGTGCAACAGCTGTGGGACCACCTCCAAACACCGCTGTCTGCTGAGGCATCAGACATGCTTCCTGCAGCCCAGATTGTGTCTCCGTGCTGAGCCAGCTCTTTGATAAGAACTTTGCAGATAGTTCAGAATAGCTTTGTTTTTTGCTGAAAGGAAAGGATTTTCTGGTTTTGGAAAACAAACCACTACTTGGTGGAGATCACCAGTACTCCATCCCTCTTCTCATAGGTTTCTCCAAGGAAAGTCTTTTAAAAGCGACATTTTAGTCTCTCCTGCAGATTACTTTATTGTAGGGGTCTTGCCTTCATCTGTAGATTTAATGGTTTAATAAGTATTAGACTCTCCTACTATACAGTAACAAATAGGAATACAATACTTTTATCAATATTTGGCACAATTTATTTATTTTTTAATGTGAAACTAAATATTGATGCTGTCAAGAGACTGTAGCTTAGGGACATACATGTAAATTACAAATATTCTTCTCCAGTGAGCCTAGCTCAAATTTTGCATTCATATACAGTAACCATCTAATGTCTTTCTATTCCTGTAACCCATATGATTTGGTTGCCAGATTACATGATTCTGTATTGAAATGGGTGTACTTGGATGTCAGGGTTTTTATTGTTATTACCAATATTATCTTTTATTCTTACTGTAAATGGTAACAAAACATTAACAGCTTCCTTACTCTAAAAAAAAAGGAATAAAGTCCCATTTACAGAATGTCTCTAAACAGAAAATGTCTCCGGAGAAAAGATATTCTGAATAAACAATTCATGGATGAGTAGGCAAAAAAATGTCTTTCAATGTATTTTGCTACTTGCAACTGGATTTTTTAAAATAGAGTAATGGCTCTTTTAATGGAGAACAAAACGTGCTTTGGAAAGTGACTGGAGAGAAGTCAGTTCTCTATGTATTTTTACATATTTTGCATTTTTGTAGGTAACAGAAAGCTTGTGAACCTGAGGAAACAGTCCCCACAATTTTCCTGATTCTTTTACTTTTGTTTGTCCCATTCTCCTGCTTTTCCATTGGCCTATTTCTTGGTATATTTTCCAAATAAAGTGCCAACCTACCCACCTGAAACAGACCACAGCATTTCAGGGATTTCAAAGTGAAGTGAAGCAAATTAGCCTGTCTGGAATATAAACAGACTGAAAAGTAATGCTGAAAAGCTCCCAGCTTAGGGCTGCATGTGCTTTCTGTGCATAGTGCTTGAAATTTCCACAGGTGTGTGTGTGTGTGTATACACACATATATGTATGTATACATATATGTATATGTGTGTATATATGTGTTACCCTGAGAGCCTTCCTGAGCAAACCAGCGTGTTGTTCTCACGAAGCAGAGGACGCTAACTGCACAGTGACCATTAACCTTCTCCTTTCCTGCTCAGTGGTTACGAAACACCCCGGGGACCGGCACCCGGGCCGGCTCCAGGCTGCCCACAACAGCCGGGCTGGGGCCGGGACGAATCCACCCGGTGCGGCTTCATCCCGTGGAGGGTGCCGCCCCCGGGGATGCACTCTGTGCTCCGGTCAAAGCACGGGCTGGGGTCTTACACTCTGTCTTTACACCACAGGGGAGCAGGCGAGGGAGCTAGGGAACTGAGGCGGAGCAAGAACCGGCTCCTACTGACCAGCGGCCACCAGCGGGGCGAGCCGGGCCGGCTGCTGTGGGGAACGCCTTCCCCGCACACAACCCCACAGCCCCGCTCCGCGGCAGGCGGAGCGTGGCCGGGCACCGCCTTTCCCCCCCCTCGGCTTGACCCAGGCCTGCCAGCGCGGCCCCGGCCGCCGAGCGGCGCCAGGCGGCTGAGGCGGGGCTGCGGCGGCGTTTCCCGCCCTCTCCCCTTCGCTTCGTCCCTCAGCGGCTGCGCGGCGGGCTCCGGGCCACGTCCATGTCCATGTCCATGTCCATGTCCATGTCCGGGGAGGCAGCGGGGCCGCCGGTGAAGGTGCTGGCGGCCCAGCTGCGGGGCGCCGTGCGGGGCGCCGACGGGATGTGGGCGCTGGGCCTGGCGGAGGCGGGCCGGGTACCGCTGCGCCTGCGGGCGGCGTGGATGCAGGGCACCGTGCTGGAGGTGGCGCGGGGCGGTGCCGCCGGCGGCTCGGCCCGGCTGAGGGACGCGAGCGGCGCCTTCACCGTGCTGGGGGTGGAGGCCGTGCCCCAGGGGCGGCCGTGCCTCAGCGCAGGTACAGCGGAGCCCGGGGCCGGGCGGCGCTCGGCGGCCCCCTGAGGCCTCGGGGAGGCGGGTGTAGAGCGGGGCCGGAGTCCCGAAATGTACCTCGAGCTCGTTGCGTGGTCATAACGGCTTCGCTGCCCGCCTTAGAAATGAAATGAAGACGTAAAGGTCAAGGGGGCCTCAGACTGGCTGCTTTTGTTGTATTTTCTCTCAGGGAAGTACGTGATGGTGATGGGCGTGGTGCGGTCCTGCAGCCCCGAGCCTGTACTGCGAGCAATAAAGATGACGGATCTTTCTGAAAATCCGGTGCATGAGAATATGTGGAGCCTCGAAGTGGAGGATTTACACAGAGTCATCCCCTAGATATTTCTTGTGCCTAAAGACGTGGAAATATAAGTACATGTATTGGTGCACTGCGCTGGGCCATTCTGGCTATTTGTGATTTCAAACAACACACTTGGAGTATAACAAGACTTGGGGTTTTTTTGGCAGGGGCTTGGATTTTGTTGGGCTCAGATTTAAGTTGAGGGAAATGTGCATATGTGATAGTAATCATGGTGCTTGTTTCTTTCACAGTCTTGTACCAACAGAGTAAACTACATTTATCTGAGAAACACTTGATGCTCTTGGAAGTGTTGTTATGAATGCGACATGTTTCTGCTATTGTTAGCCGTTGTTTCTAGGAGCACGTGCCTAGGCAGGCGTTCCCAGTGATGCGTTTCATGTTACCAGGGTGAGCTTGATACGTGGAATGAAAGCAGAAGCTGTTATAGACCATTTAGATGTGTCTGGAAATAGCATCTTGCTCTGTGTTTTCTCTTTCAGTAATAACCATGCCAGTAAACTTTACTTGTAAGAAAGATGTCTCTTTCTAACTAAGCATAATCTTGTACTTAAATACCTTTCTGGTTTCTGTGTTTCTGAAATAGTGAAAGTGGTACAGTAATAACCCGTGTGTTCCAGTGAAGTGAAATTAACTCAAAAGATGTGATGCAGAATTCCTTGGAATAGGTTCTCCAGGTTCAAAATGTAAATACTTTCACCACCTTGTGAAAACTTGTTCTTAAGCGCATTTGTCTGTTTGAAGGTTTCCTTTCTTGTTCAAGTGTATGCTATTTTTAGGTATTTTTCTAGTTACGTTTATCTATCGTTCCTCCTGAAAAAAATGCTAAATCAAATCAAAAACCCTTAAAAAGCACTCTCTGAAAAATATTACTATTTCCCATCTTGTCTAAAGAGAATTTGAGTCCTAAAGAAAGCATTGCGTTATCCATATGGTGTAGGTTTGTGGTTTGGGACTGTATTGTCCAGCAATTGGGTTTTGTTAATTAACATTTCCTCTGCATATACGAAAGAAAGATAAGGGGATGACTCGAAAGAAAGTGATACGAAAGAAAAGGATGATACGAAAGAAAGAAAGGGGATGACTCTCATCTACAAGACGAGAGTCATCCCCTAGATACTTCTTGTGCCTAAATTACTGGAAATATAAGTACATGTATTGGTGCACCGTGTTCAAGACGAGAACACGGTGGTTGGTAATAAATACATTTTAAAGCTGCAAACACAATTCCACAGTGTATGGAAATTAAATACTATCTACTAAGTAGATTTTGATGTGAGATCAAAAGAGAACAACTTAGTCTCTCTATTCTCTTCTAAGGACAGTTGGTGTGTGTGTTTGTGTGCTCTGATCTGCAGGAGTTACATATGCAAAAGCTTCTGGTCTCCAGTGAGCCAGAAGGCAAGGTCAGTCATTTATATTGTCTGATATGTAGAGCAATGAGCTATTTCTTAAATGGATTGTACACATTTTCTGTAGGAAAACAGTTTGTTTATTGCCTTGCCTTCAAATGAGTGAGTGAAGCAAGATCTTTTGCAGCAAAAGCTGCAAGATTTGCAAAAGCACACGTGTTTGCAAGGAGCATCTAGGAATTCCCTGTGCCAACAGGACCTTGCTGCAACAGTTTCTTCCCCTATCTGAAAAACACTGCAAGATGGTGAGTTATTCTGTGGAGTGTTATTTTTTTTTTCTTAGACTGTGAATTAACTCTTTATCAATCTTAGTGAATGCACCTGCGATTTCTGGATTTCAGTACCCTTTGCAACATCTTGTATATAATCCCAGCTGATAACATTATTAAAGCACCCATCTAAGTGGCTGGACTAGTTGTACTAAAAAGGAACTGTTGCTCCTAGTAAGCAATGGAAGATTCTGCGCATGCTATGCATGCGAAAACAACTTTGAGAGGCCTAATTTGAGAAAGAGTAAAGGACTTCGTGTTTTAAAGGCTTATTAGTGCTTTTATCACTTCTGATCCTTGTCATTTACCTTCAGCCAGCTATGTAATTGCTATGTGCACATCTAGGTGCATTCCAGATTGCAGCTTTGAAACTGGCTGATGATGATACTAAACAATTTACTGCATTCCAAACCCAAGGTAAGTATAGCCAGCTGCTGCTTTTGTCTCTATGAACCATTTAAACTCAGCCAGTTCTAACTGTTCAATGTTATTCCTATGAATAATCAATAAAAATTGGGGAAGCATAAAAATGAGGAAGTCAACTATTTATCAACATTTCATAGTTAAGAAAACTGTTATTTTGTTGTTAGTATATTCTTAAGCAAAGACAGCTGAAGGATTTTGTAATGTTACCTTTCACAAAATCGATCACAAAGTCGATGGGGCCGGATGGGATGCACCCAAGGGTACTGAGAGAACCGGCAGAGGAGCTGGCCAAGCCCCTATCCATCATTTATCAGCAGTCCCGGCTATCGGGGGAGGTCCCAGTTGACTGGCAGCTAGCAAACATGATACCCTTCTACAAGGGACAGAGGGTAGACCTGGGGAACTATAGGCCTGTCAGTTTGACCTCAGTACCAGGGAAGCTCATGGAGCAGATCCTCTTGAGTGTCATCACGTGGCACTTGCAGGGCAAGCAGGGGATCAGGCCCAGTCAGCATGGGTTTATGAAAGGCAGGTCCTGCTTCACGAACCTGATCTCCTTCTATGACAAAATGACATGCTGGGTGGATGAGGGAAAGGCTGTGGATGTGGTCTACTTTGACTTCAGCAAGGCTTTTGACACCGTCTCCCACAGCATTCTCCTCAAGAAACTGGCTGCTTATGGCTTGGACTAGTGCACGCTTCATTGGGTTAGAAACTGGCTGGATGGCCGGGCCCAAAGAGTCGTGGTAAATGGAGTCAAGTCCAGTTGGAGGCCGGTCACTAGTGGCGTTCCCCAGGGCTCGGTGCTGGGGCTGGTCCTCTTTAATATCTTCATCGATGATCTGGATGAGGGGATCGAGTGCACCCTCAGTAAGTTTGCAGATGACACCAAGCTAGGTGCGTGTGTCGATCTGCTCGAGGGTAGGAAGGCTCTGCAGGAGGATCTGGATAGGCTGCACCGATGGGCTGAGGTCAACTGCATGAAGTTCAACAAGGCCAAGTGCCTGGTCCTGCACCTGGGGCGCAATAACCCCAAGCAGAGCTACAGGCTGGGAGATGAGTGGTTGGAAAGCTGCCAGGCAGAGAAGGACCTGGGAGTGATGGTGGACATTCGGCTGAGTATGAGCCAGCAGTGTGCTCAGGTGGCCAAGAAGGCCAACGGGATCCTGGCTTGTATCAGAACCAGTGTGACCAGCAGGGCTAGGGAGGTGATCGTCCCCCTGTACTCGGCTCTGGTGAGGCCACACCTCGAGTACTGTGTTCAGTTTTGGGCCCCTCGCTACAAGAAGGACATGGAGGTGCTTGAGCGGGTCCAGAGAAGGGCGACGAAGCTGGTGAGGGGCCTGGAGAACAAGTCCTACGAGGAGCGGCTGAGGGAGCTGGGCTTGTTCAGACTGGAGAAATGGAGGCTCAGGGGCGACCTTATTGCTCTTTACAGATACCTTAAAGGAGGCTGTAGCAAGGTGGGGGTTGGCCTGTTCTCCCACGTGCCTGGTGACAGGACCAGGGGGAATGGGCTTAAGTTGCACCAGGGAAGTTTTAGGTTAGATGTTAGGAAGAACTTCTTTACCGAAAGGGTTGTTAAACACTGGAACAGGCTGCCCAGGGAAGTGGTTGAGTCACCATCCCTGGAAGTCTTTAAAAGACGTTTAGATGTAGAGCTTAGGGATATGGTTTTGCGGGGACTGTTTGTGTTAGGTTAGAGGTTGGACTTGATGATCTTGAGGTCTCTTCCGACCTAGAAATTCTGTGATTCTGTGAAAATAATCACATTCCTGGTACTGTATAGGGAAATGTATGCCTCTCTGTTAGGCATTTTTTAATTAATAGACTTGCAATATAGAAAATAATTCAATAGATGAGACACTTTTACACAACAGGATCTATAACACTTTAAGACTACTTTATGAATACCAGAGCTATCAGTGACCTTTTCCAAATGTCTAAACTAACTTCTTTCTTCATATTTGATGATACATTCACAGTTAGGGGGAAAAGAAGAGCATTATTACTCAGGTTTAAGGGGTCTGAATAAGCACTGTTAAGACTATTTCATCTATCTAATGGAATACCCTTGATAAGAAAGATTTTTTTTCTAAAAGAAAGAGTGCAGATACAGCTATTACTGACTGAGATCATCTCTTCTGTTCTCATGACCTTAGATGGCTGGCTGTTAACCATGCGTGACTAGCCTGGCCCTTAAATCTCTTTCACAATATCCAACCTAATTCTTCCTTACTGCAGTTTGGTCTGTTACACTTCCTTCTCTTTAGCCTGTTTACATATTTAAAGACTTAACTCATGTCTTCCCTCAGCTCTTCTTTTTTTTTTTCCCCACAGAGAGACCTCTGGTCTCTTCTCAGTTGGTCTACAACTTAACTCAAAAACAAATGTATAAAATAAGCTGTATAGTAATTATTTCTTATCTTAAATGTGTTTCTTCATACATGCATCCCAGTATATTCTACTTGTTTTAGTAGCATGCTTCTGTTGTTACCTGAGCCTGTGATCCACGATAATTCCAATCCTTTTCTTAGAAATGGGATGATGTAAACCAGTACCACTGACTGACTTCAGTCTTTTCACTACCAAGCCATTCTAAAACTCTGTTTGACACAACATCAGTTGAATGTTCAGGCTCACAGTTTTAACAAAGTTTCACAGAATCACAGAATTGTAGAGGTTGGAAGAGACCTCCAAGATCATCTAGTCCAACCTCTGACCTAACACTAACCAGTCCTCCACTAAACCATATCACTAAGTTCAACATCTAAACGTCTTTTAAAGACCTCCAGGGATGGTGACTCCACCACTTCCCTGGGCAGCCCATTCCAATGCATAACAACCCTCTCAGTAAAGAAGTTCTTCCTAACATCTAACCTAAAACCCCCCTGGTGCAACTTAAGCCCATTCCCCCTGGTCCTGTCACCAGGCACGTGGGAGAACAGGCCAACCCCCACCTCGCTACAGCCTCCTATAAGGTATCTGTAAAGAGCAATAAGGTCACCCCTGAGCTTCCTTTTCTCCAGGCTAAACAAGCCCAGCTCCCTCAGCTGCTCCTCGTAGGACTTGTTCTCCAGGCCCCTCACCAGCTTCGTCGCCCTTCTCTGGACCCACTCAAGCACCTCCATGTCCTTCTTGTAGCGAGGGGCCCAAAACTGAACACAGTACTCAAGGTGCGGCTCCACCAGAGCCAAGTACAGGGGGACGATCACCTCCCTAGCCCTGCTGGTCACACTGGTTCTGATACAAGCCAGGATCCCGTTGGCCTTCTTGGCCACCTGAGCACACTGCTGGCTCATACTCAGCCGAATGTCCACCATCACTCCCAGGTCCTTCTCTGCCTGGCAGCTTTCCAACCACTCATCTCCCAGCCTGTAGCTCTGCTTGGGGTTATTGCGCCCCAGGTGCAGGACCAGGCACTTGGCCTTGTTGAACTTCATGCAGTTGGCCTCAGCCCATCGGTGCAGCCTATCCAGATCCTCCTGCAGAGCCTTCCTACCCTCAAGCAAATCGACACACGCACCTAGCTTGGTGTCATCTGCAAACTTACTGAGGGTGCACTCGATCCCCTCATCCAGATCATCGATAAAGATATTAAAGAGGACCGGCCCCAGTACCGAGCCCTGGGGGACGCCACTAATGACCAGCCTCCAACTGGACTTGACTCCATTCACCACGACTCTTTGGGCCCAGCTATCCAGCCAGTTTTTAACCCAACAAAGCGTGCACCAGTCCAAGCCTAGGGCAGCCAGTTTCTTGAGGAGAATGCTGTGGGAAACGGTGTCAAAGGCCTTACTGAAGTCAAGTAGACCACATCCACAGCCTTTCCGTCATCCACCCAGCGCGTTATTTTGTCTTAGAAGGAGATCAGGTTTGTGAAGCAGGACCTGCCTTTCATAAACCCATGCTGACTGGGCCTGATCGCCTGCTTGCCCTGCAAGTGCTGCGTGATGACTCTCAAGAGAATCTGCTCCATGAGCTTCCCTGGCACTGAGGTCAAACTGACAGGCCTGTAGTTCCCCGGGTCTGCCCTCCAGCCCTTCTTGTAGATGGGTGTCACGTTTGCTAGCCGCCAGTCAACTGGGACCTCCCCCGATAGCCAGGACTGCAGA